GGCCCGATAGGATCACCTGTGTCAGTTTTACCAACAAATAACTAAATACCTGAAGATGAGCTTTATCCTTGGGACCTTTTGTCTTTGGACTGGATGAACAGAAAGTTTCATCTGAGAGGCTGGGGCGGACATATCATTCAGTCACAGCCTCTGATGCTCTTTTATATCTCCCTTTGCATCACATGTCTCGTTTTTATAGCCAGGTAATTTACATGACTTTCAGCAAAGGTATTTAATTACACTGGGCCTCTACTTACACATCCACAAAAGGCCTCTCGTAGAGTACCCACCTTATAAAAGTTTAGGAGGATTTATTGAGATAATAGGTGCATGGTACTTAAAACAGTGCCAGTATATGGTAACATTCAATATTACTCTTGCTATGGTTACAGTCGTTGTCTCCTTGAGAAATAAGAGGTTCCCATAGCCCGTATCTGTGCATCAGTACACAAGTCATCAATGTCTAGTTGTGTTAGATAATCAGGTATACAAATATGTCGTGGTGATGGAGAAAGAAGACACACCTTAAGGCCCCCCAAAAGGATTTGGTGAGGAAAGCAGATTGATAAAGAGGAAAGTCTTGGAAGTTACAAGACAAGGGCTTGAATTCTTTCTGGACAATTAACTCATTGTATGACCTTGAGCTGCCTTCTTCTTATCTTTCTTTCCTCTCAAAATTGAGGTAAGAAAGTATCTCCTGCATAGGTTTCTTTGAAAGATTAACTGCAATAAGCCAAATATCTATATTCGACTCACAAGAGACTAGCAATGTTCTTGGTACTAAGCATGAATTTATTTTCACAAACATTCATCAAAAGTCAGAGAACAGAAACAACACTTAAGGCAGATTATTTACAGGACTGGCTGACTATCCACTCCCCCAGATATGAAAAGATCTCCTCTCAGACCAAGCCAGATCATCAGAGAAATGCATACCTAAGCTGAGTTCTATTTTTCCTCCTACAGAAAACTCATTATCAAATTACATTACAGTGTGAAGCCACAGACCATATTATATTGATGGTCCTCACAAGAATAAGCTCCATAAACCTTATTTTTTGCATAATACAGAGGCTGCCAAGGATATTTTTCTTTACCTTTTCAATGAGTTATTTATAAGAATCTCAAGGAGAAATCCCAGCCTGGATTTGGGACTAAAATGGTAGCACTTGTCCTGAGTTTTTGAAGCCAGAAGCAAGTACAGATTTACTGTTTGGAGTCAGTGAAACAGACCAAAAATGCATTCTTGCATTCATTCAAAGATATTTATTGAGCAACTACTATGTGCCGGACTCTCCACTGGGATCTGGACATTCAATGATGAACACGACAGGAAACATCTCTGCCTTCACAGATCTAGAATGTAGTGGGAAAGAAGAGATGATTAAATAAGCAATTATAATTATACAGCAATGATAGAGAATGAGCCAGAAACAGATGCTGGGTAACAAGATAAGATTTATCACCCCCTTAGGTAGTTAGGGAGGTGCAAATAAAGCTAAGCTTGGACCAAGAGAAGACTAGGAGGACCCTAGAGGGAAGATCCACACATCTGTGGAAATCAAGGGGAGAAAGACACAAGTCAGGAAAAGACTAGAGGTAGGTGAGTGAAGAGAGATACCGAGAACCTAAGACTGTTAATCCCCTACCGTGACCAGAACTGATCTATTTATGTACTTTGCATCAGTACAATGTCTCCATGAGTAGAATTATATTGTGTAGGGTGCTCGTAACTATAAATCATGTCCTAGCCTCCTGAGGAAACTGGTCTGATTTTATGACTCTCAATAACTACATTCTAGTAGAAAGTATCAAAGAGAGAATAAATAAGAGAGAAGTTCTGGTGTTACTTGAGATACAGTCTTAGGTATTTAACTCATCATATTGAGAGTCATGTCAATACGACCTTGTTGGTTTCTTTCTATCATCACTTACTTCTGCAAAGAGAGAGGAACACCAGCCTACACTGGAATTATAAATGCCTCCTTCAAATGTAATGCAACTGCCTTCTTCATACCCAAAGATGCTGGATATTCAGAGAACAGAATTAAATACCTAAGAGGTATCCTGGCACCAAAAAGCTTGAGCCAGCAGGAGACCTAGGTTTTAGTCCTAGCCCTGTCACATGAAGAAATGATATGTATCCAGAGAAAACTCTAATTCGAAAAGATACATGCACCCCAGTGTTAAATGCAGCATTATTTACAATAGCCAGGACACGAAAGCAACCTAAATGTCCACTGACAGATGAGTGGATAAAGAAGATGTGATATATACACAATGGAATATTAGTCAGCCAAAGAAAGAATGGAATATTAGTCAGCCAAAAAAAGAATGAAATAACGCCATTTGCAGCAATATGGATGGACCTAGAAATGATTACACTAAGTAAGTCAGACAGAGAAAGACAAATATCATACGATATCACTTATATGTGGAATCTAAAAAAATGGTACAAATGAACTTATTTACAAAACAGAAACAGACTCACAGACATAGAGAACAAACTTGGTTACCAAAGGGGAAGGGGAGGAATTAGGAATTTGGGATTAACAGATACACACTACTATATATAAAATAGATAAACAACAAGAACCTGCTGTGTGGCACAGAGAACTATATTCAATACCTTGTAATAAACCATAATGGAAAAGAATCTGTAAAAGAATATATATATGCATAACTGAATCACTTTGCTGTACACCTGAAACAACACAGCATTGTAAATCAACTAGACCTCAATTAAAAAAAAGAAATGATAGGTGAGGCTTGGAGGCTATATGAGTAACTCAGTGAACATGGAACCTCATGTGCTCCGTGTAGTAACACAAATAGCAGTATTTATTGAAGATTTACTGTGTGTCAAGCACCAGGTCTACGTGTGTTCCCTGCATTAACTAGCAACAAACTCATGAGGTGGGTACCGTTGTCACTTAGAGCTGAGAACATGAGCGTTTCTGGGTCACAGGGTTGGTAAATTCAAACCCAGGGGTCCAGCTCCAGAGCCCAGGCTCCTAACCACTACTGTCCTCTCTCAACTTCCGCCCAGGAGCTCCCAGGGAAGCTGGAAGGACAGATCAGAGTACCATGCCTCAGGATACATTCAAGCACGCATCACGTCTTCTCAGGGCCTTTATGACATGAATGAACGGCAAGGGAGCCTTCCAGGGGGACCCTCTGCCCTGCTTGGTCCAGGACAGGCTCCGTGTGTGCCTGCTTCTCCATGCCCACCCGCATACTCCCTCTCTCCAGGGTGCACCTGTCTGGACAGAAGTGGTAGCGTCACCTAAGCCCAATGGCTAAGAGCTGACGTTTTGAAGTTTGCTGGGCCTGGGCGCAAAACCCAGCTTAACCATTAACATGAGGCCAGTTACTTTGCCCAAATAAGCCTCAGCTTTCTCATCTCCCAAGTGGAGATAAGAATTGCACCTACCTCCTAGTACTGCTGTGAGAAACACAGGAGTCAAGATGTATAGAGACTCTATGTCTCAGTCAGCATAGCACTTAGCAAATAGTGAGCACCCTCTAGAAATGAGCCTGTACCACCATTTAATAGAATGTCTGAGAGGCTTTCTCACATCAGCATCAACCCGGTGGAAGACTCTGTGAATCGGAGGCATCGAAACACACCTGTGAATCTGCGGCACTTAGCCGCGAACCAGGATGAGTAGGGAATGCCAAGTCTTTCTAAATAAACCAGTGGTACTCCAAGAATCACCCATTCTAAGACTAAATTATATCCCTGAAGCCATTGAAAATGCAGTTTGACTTCTGGTCACTCCCAAGGCTTTAATCCATTCCAGTCCAGACTCCATGGGAACTGGGCTGAAATGCTACGTTTTGTAAGGAAATAGCCTTTGAGCTTATAATCTCTTTGGGGTCCATTTTAGCCTCTTGGACCAGCCTGGATTCAGAGTGGCAACTTCTGGGATCACTCTGCTTCAAACACAGCCAAGGACCCACCCTACTTTGTGTTGGAACGCTGGAATAGCCTTAGGATTCAGAGAAAATCCTTTCTGTGGCATGGGCATTGTCACGCACCAGCCCTGATGCCTGCAGCTGAATCGGCAGGCTGCACAGCCCAGAACCTGCCACAATGTTTGTCACCTGACGGCATCTCTCGGCACTCAGGCTCAGTAAACCATAGTCATGGACTTGGAGAAACCACGTGGCTGGTCGGTATATACACTGAACAAATCACCTTTTTGGCCTCATTTTCTTTGGAAACTAAAGCTGTTCCGTCCATCGTGAAAGATGAAGGGGTCGAATCTAACATGGTCTGGCTCTGGGCCTCTTAAAAAGATCCCATCTGCCGAAGAAAGATAACCCTCTTTGCCTTTATTTTTTACGATACTGTGGGTTGTTTTTGTTTGTTTGTTTGTTTTGTTTTGTTTTGCGGTACGCGGGCCCCTCACTGCTGTGGCCTTTCCCATTGCGGAGCACAGGCTCAGCGGCCATGGCTCACGGGCCCAGCCGCTCCACAGCATGTGTGATCTTCCCAGACCGGGGCACGAACCCGTGTCCCCTGCACCGGCAGGGGGACTCTCAACCACTGCGCCACCAGGGAAGCCCTGCCTTTATTTTTAAAAACTTCCAGTGCGCAGGATTCTACTTACTTCCATACAAACCCAGTTACTAATATAATATGCCTGACTGTCAGCAGGCTCTCTGCCTCCACCCCGGCTCTCTCTCCTGATCACACAATTGCCACTGGCTTCCATCAGATGTAATAAGCCTCTGGGAAGCGCGGCGAGGGAAATGGAGAGCACAGATTGCACAGCGGGGGCTTCTCGCGTGTGCAGCACAGCATCGCCCAGGCACTCTCGTGTCCTCCTAAAGCTGAGAAAATCGAGGATGCCAAGCGTATGGAAAGACACGCTGCTGCTGTCCAAGTGGGAAAGGCGGGTGGAGAAAATCATTTAGAAAAAAGGGCTGAGGGAAAAGAGAAAATCAAGCCCAGTCTCCAACAGCTGCAAACAAGAAGCCCCAGAAACGGTTACCTTGGATGAACTCGGATTTCCTGCTCACAGAAGGCAGGGTCCGGTTGAGTCCCAGGATCCTGTCCAGGTGGAAGGCAAACACCTCGCTCATGTCCAGAGGCTGCTTGAGCAGCCCGCAGGGGCTGGGGCCGCAGGCGGGCGCTGCGGGCCGGCCGGTCCCCTGCAACACCAGCAGGCGCGCTCTGCTCCTGGGCCAGGCCGGCTGGAGACCCGCCACCGTGCCGTCGGCCAGTAGGCGCATCCGGCCGATGTCTTCTCCGCTCAGCCACGACGGGGCGCTCTCGCTGTAGATCCTGATGTTGCTTCCCTCGGCCCGGGGCAGCTGCACATCTGCGTCCCCACCTTGCGCTCCCAGACCCTGCATCCACCCCCAGGGTCGCTCCCCAGCCTTGGCCAGGTTTCCTCCCCGGACGTGCCCGGGCACTTCAGCATCAGCTGCCCTTGCAGCTTCCTGAGGCCGAAGGGACGGTCCGACCAAAGCCCCGGGTCCCGGGGCCTGAGAAGCCACCGCATACTTCTTCCTGCGCTTGGGTTTCACGGTGCCACGGATGCTGGCGGGCTTGCTGCGCTTGGAGCGCAAGGTGATGTACACCACGTTGGGCTGCAGCGTGGTCCCATTGCCCTGGGACTCGGGAGGGGCCAGCGTGCCGTCCAGGGGTATCTCAGGGAAGGGAGCCTCGGCGGTGGCCCGGCTCCAGTGCGGCCCCTTGCGCGCGCGCCCTCCGTGCGGGGCAGAGGCGCGCCCCACCTGGCTCACCAGGAAGCCCAGGTAGATGGCGCAGGCCGTACCCAGCAGGAGATTCCTCCTGGTCCTGGGGCGCCGGCTGCTCCAGAGTTTCCGCACCCTCGGGACGCACAGGAAGGAGAGGAACCAGTTCATGAGTTGCCCTGGCTTGTCCGGGCAGCTCATTTCTGAGCTTCGTCCGCATGCTGCACAGAGTTTAAAGTCTGCCGTTGGCTCCTTCTGGCATGATGCGTGGTTTGCTGAACGCAGCTGTCGCCTCCACTCAGGTGTCTAAGTGGTCTCCAGTGGGTCGAGGAGGAAGTTAAGGGCTGGTGGTGGAGCCGGGAAGGCTTCTGACACTGGCCACAACAAACCTTCTAAACCCCGACAGCCTTCCCTGAGGAGAAGTCTGGCTAGTTCCTGGGAATGAATGGAAACAGAGCGAACTGAGACACAGTCTCAAACTCGGTCAGTTCCTCCACAAGAGGAAAGAAAAACACGGAACCTTTTCCTTTCATCACTATCACCACGAAATGATTTTTTAAGTGAGGTTTAAAAAAAGATAGAAACAAGATAGATGTACAGATTTGATATTCATTTTCAGTTAGTGAAAACCAACCACCAAAATCCAAGACTATTTTATAACTTGTAGCTAGAGTCATTTCATTTGATCCTGAAGGAAAAGCATTAAAATTGGACAAATCCAGGCTTTTCATTTTGAAATTCAGAAATAATTTAAGAAAAGCAACCAAAGGTTTTAGAAATCTGTAGCTATCTTCTATTTATTTTTAAAAGTCCTGCATTAACTAATTGGACAGAAGCACCAAGTATTAACATTCAAATTCAGAAACATATTCTTTTAATCGTATGGTACAGTCTTTTCTTCATAATATATTCCATTATCTTATTTTAAGGGTTATCATAATATAAAGGCAAAGATGCCCATGTATCTTGGAAGCAATTACATTTATTCAGTCACACACACACACACACACACACACACACACACACACACACATAAACACAAAACACACATCTAACGGCTTTTTATTCCTTTTCTTTTCACCAAAGTCAGCTGAAAGAAGAGAACCAAAAGCCCTCTAGCTCTACTTTTTCACATTATTAAAAAGAAGAACTGGTAAAAAGCAACCTTACTTACACAGCTGGCCCCGTGCTTGGCCCCAGGAAGAATGCAATCCCTGACTCCAATGCAAAGAACTATTAAAGGCTGAGGCATGTAAGTAGAACATATTTCATGGTCGAGAGTGTTCCACATTTCACATATTTCAGCTCTGCTTTCAAAGCTCCCTTGAAAACTCCTGATTGCAAAGCAAAACGGGTACTTGTTCACTGGCTGCTGACAACCCACTTTTAAGATGTGTAAGGGTTTCTTTTTTTTTAATATTGTAAAAAATAAACTTTAATTTTAAATTCTGGGAAAAAAAAAAAAAGCAAATGCCGTATTTTTCCACTTATTTTTAACTCCTGGGAGCCCTCTAGTGTCCTGTATGGAAACAGACCCAGAAGGGTCAGTCTTTTTGGTGTTAAAAAGCATTAGAGTTGTTCGCTTAGCAGCAGTGAAATAAACACCTCATGAGGTGAATGCATTCACCTCTCTGTCCATCCCAGCCACTGGGGATTAGAGCAGCAACGTTGCCAGGGACTTACCTTTCCATCCTGGCTGTGTCCAGAGTAACACTGGCCTCCCACCGCTTCCGAGAAGAGAAGGCCCGGAAGTTCATTAAAAGGCAAGAAAGGGTTAATGCAAATGAGGGAGGAAAAAGAACAGGCCGATAAGAGTACACATCGGTGGGAAGAGACATTTATAGTGTGCCATTGCTCGGTGCAACAGTTCACAAAAAGAAGTTGTGGATTCTCCCAGATTGGAGGTTTCTTTTAAAAACAGGTTAGTGATTGCTTTAGGTGGCTTGCATGTCCGGGCACAAAGGCAGGGGTTGATGACCTCCGGGTCTCACTTAGACTTACTGTTTTGCTTCTGCAGCAAATAGAGTCTAGAAGGCACGCAGGCAGGCAGGCAGGCAGGGGCCAGGGAATGTTTTCCCCACAGGAAAAGAAGGTTGTTGTAGGGGGTGGGGGCAGGGAGTGGGAATTAGAGTATGGTGTGTAACTGTAAAAAGACTATATTTAACAATGCGGAAAAGATCAAGGCATTGGAATACATGTAGAAGGAAAGGATAAACTTCCAAGTGATCAAATACCAAAAATTATACTAGAACTGTTCCTGTAGCACTCAAACTCAGACCATTCTTCCTAGAAGCACTCATATATTCTGGCTAAACTTCATGAGAACTTAAGCATCAAAGTGATTTCCTTTGTTCTCCAATACTCTTTTTTAAAATTTTATTTTATACTGGAGAATAGCTGATTAACAATGTTGTGTTAGTTTCAGGTATACAGCAAACTGATTGTTATATATATACATGTATCTGTTCTTTTGCAAATTCTTTTCCCATTTAGGTTATTACAGAATATTGAGTAGAGTTCCCTGGGCTATATAGTAGGTCCTTGTTGGTTGTCTGTTTTATATATCGTAGTGTGCATATATTAATCCCAAACTCCAAATCTATCCCTCCCTACCACCCTCCTCCCTGGTAACCATAAATTCATTCTCTAAGTCCGTGAGTCTGTTTTGTAAATAAGTTCATTTGTATCACTTTTTTTTTTAGATTCCACATATAAGTGATACCATATGATATTTGTCTTCCTCTTTCTGACTTACTTCACTTAGTGTGATCATCTCTAGGTCCATCCATGTTGCTGCAAATGGCATCATTTCATTCTCTTTTATGGCTGAGTAGTATTCCGTTGTAAATATGTGCCACATCTTCATTATTCATTCACTGTTGATGGACATTTAGGTTGCTTCCATGTCCTGGCTATTGTAAACAGCCCTGCAATGAACATTGGCGTGCATGCATCCTTTCAAACCATGATTTCCTCTGGATATATGCCCAGGAGTGGGATTGCTGGATCATATGGTAGCAGTACTCCTAAAGCACACTTCCATGAGCCCAGAATTATTTTCTAGATAGTAAATATTAACTTTTTGAAAGGAAACCATAACCAAGCCAGTTTGTAAAACTATCTTGTTATTTTCAGTATTCAGAAGAATAACTGACCTGAACTCTTTAAGAAGTAAAAGTAAGTCTCTGGCAGAGGCCAGGTTCCACTAAGCAGAAGAGACTCTGCTAGCTGTTTCCAAAGCAGGTTTCTTTAGCGGGGAAATGCTTAGGAAATAGATAAGAGTTGTCTGACTCAGTAAACTTGGCTGACTCCTCCTCTCGCCCCCAAAATGTTTGTCCCTGACACCTCATTGAACTTCTTGGAGGCCCTTCTCCCAGCCCTGGCATCTGACAGGTAGTCACCCCTGCCGAAGGGGAAGGTCTCTGGTAGAATTAGGAACCAGCTCATGGAATCATGGGTGTAGCTAATATATTGATATTACAAATACACTGGATAAACAGGGCTCAGCAGACAGATAGAATCAGAAAACAATTTGAATCATTCTTCCCACTGCCTACTCAAACCCACTCTGGGCACTAGTAGCCCTTTTCAACTCCTTTGGATAAAAATTCAGGCATAATTTCTGTAGTCCGACTTTTTAAAAGTTCTCCATCATTTGAGCCGCAGACACGCACATACACACACATAAACGAATCAAAAGTTAGAGTCTATGTAGTAGTCGAGATGTTCACATTTCTTTTATGTTTATAGCATTTCCCCTCTCGGGCAGCTTGCTGTTCCTCAAAAAAGTATGGCCAAGGGCTTCCCTGGTGGCGCAGTGGTTGAGAGTCCGCCTGCCGATGCAGGGGACGCGGGTTCGCGCCCGGGTCCGGGAGGATCCCACGTGCCGCGGAGCGGCTGGGCCCGTGAGCCATGGCCGCTGAGCCTGCGCGTCCGGAGCCTGTGCTCCGCAACGGGAGAGGCCACAGCAGTGAGAGGCCCGCGTACCGCGAAAAAAAAATGCTAGGCTTGCCCATCTATGAAGCGATGGTGAGTGTCCTAGGTCCATCTCTCACGTGCGACCAAGAGAGCACCAATAGGCCTATTTCCAGGGGAGGCACAGGCTGGCCTTTCACTGCATTGTGTCTCCTCCCCCCTGTCTACTGTTATATCTGGTGAACAGTAACCTTGCCTTTTCCCGGTGTAGAAATCTCCCACAACAATCCCTTTAGCCTCATCTCCCTAGGAATGTTGGTTCCATTTATTTAAAGTTGTGTATGTGTTAGGATGGTCCCGTCACGTGCCCAGAAACTGAGCAATGTTTCCAGAAACACAGCATAGTATAGGAAACAGGTAAAATATATGACAGTCAAGTTGACGCATATTGGAAGCAACAGATATTTGTAGGGTTGGCATTTCACTTCTAGATAATTAGATGATCTACGCATGTGATAATAATCTGCATTTGTTTTATAATTCTAAAACCCAAGAACACACACACTCATTGTGGAGTACAGAAAAAGTAGGTTAAGTCTGAGGTAAGTTCCTTCTAAAAGCCCCAGACAGTCTAGACAACTAAGCTTCTCTCTTTCAGCCGTGGATACTGAAGGCCTCAATTCTCTGTTTCCAACGCACACTCCCAGGGAAGCCAGGACAGACAGACACGCTGGCCCTGGGTCGTTCTTGTCTTAGGACAGAACGCCCCAAGCAGCAGTGGTTTTCAGCCTGTGCGGAGGGATGAAGATGGGATAAAGCACTTTCAGTCCTTAGGCTCCTTGCAGGAAACTAGAGCAGAGGAAGGATCTCTTCCCCCTAAAGCAAGCTGGTGTCAAAGAAATAAGCTGCTGGCGGAGTACAAGTAAAGGAAGGAAGGGCCCCTGGCGATCCTAGATTAAATTGGGCACATTAGAAATGGAGCTATAAATAAACACCTTAAAAGTACAGGAAAAGAAGACAGAGAAATCTGGGGTCGTTTTTACACTTGTATCTCGTTTTGAGACTCAGTTGTGCTCCCCACGATGGTTCAGACATGTGTGGCACATCTGATAAATTGTTGAGCTCTGAAACCCACACACACACGGTTATAAATTGATGAAGAAACGGGATTAGAAAAGACAGAATGTATTAGTGTCATGTATCCAGCCGGTCCACCCTATGCATTCAAGCCCCAGGAAAGAACTACAGGCAAACCCCGATGGAGGGATTTTCATGTTTTGTTCTGA